TAAGTATATAGTTGTATTAAGCATATTCACATAGTTTTATTATTTATTTATTTATTTTTATTTTAGCATATAATGGGGGTACGTACAAGTGTTAAGGTTACTTATATTGCCCTTGCCCCCCTCCCCCCTCGAGTAAGAGCTTCAAGCGTGTCCATCCCCCAAATGTTGCACAGCTTACTCGTTGTGGTTGTGTATACCCATCCTCTCCTTCCTCCTCCCACCCTCCCGACACTCGATAAATGTTACTCCTATATGTCCACTTAGGTGTTGATCCGTTGATACCAATTTGCTGGTGAGTAAATGTGGTGCTTGTTTTTCCATTCTTGAGATACTTCACTTAGTAGAATGGGTTCCAGCTCTATCCAGGAATATACAAGAGGTGCTATATCACCATTGTTTCTTAAAGCTGAGTCGTATTCCATGGTATACATATACCACATTTTATTAATCCACTCATGAATTGATGGGCACTCAGGTTGTTTCCACAGCTTTGCAATTATTAATTGTGCTGCTATAAACATTCGAGTGCAGGTGTCATTTTCATAAAGTGACTTTTGATCCTTTGAGTAGATGCCCAGTAGTGGAATTGCTGGATCAAATGGTAGATCTACTTGTATCACTTTGAGGTATCTCCATATTGCTTTCCACAGAGGTTGAACTAGTTTGCAGTCCCACCAGCAGTGTAGGAGTGTTCCTCTCTCTCTGCATCCATGCCAGCATTTCTTGTTTTGGGGACTTTTTGATAAAGGCCATTCTCACTGAGTTAAGTGTATTCTCAATGTGTGGTTTGATTTGCATTTCCCTGATGATTAGAGGATGTTGAACATTTTTTTGTATGTTTGTTGGCCATTATTCTGTCTTCATTTGAGAAGTTTCTGTTCATGTCCTTTGCCCATTTTCTGATAGAGTGTTTGATTTTTTCTGGCTGATTTTCTAAGTTCTAAATAGATTCTAGTTATCAGCCTTTATCATATGTGTAGCTTGCAAAAATTTTCTCCCATTCTGTGGGTTGTCTGTTGCTCCTCTTGACATTTCTTTGGCTATGCAGAAGCTTTTTAATTTCATCAGGTCCCATTTGTTATTTTTGTTGCTGTTGTGATTGCCTTTGGGGTCTTCTTCATAAATTCTTTGGCCTAGGCCAATGTCTAGAAGAGTATTTCCAACATTTTCTCTAGCATTCTAATAGTTTCACACCTAAGGTTGAAGTCTGTTACTCAGTGTGAGTTGATTTTGTGAGAGGTGAAAGGTGTGGTCTTGTTTCAGTCTTCTACATGTGCTATCCAGTTTCCCCAGGCACCATTATTGGATAAGGATTATTTTCCCCAGTGTATGCTTTTGTCTGCTTTGTTGAAGATTAGTTGGGCTATATTAGGATGGTTTTATATCTGGGTTCTCTGTTCTGTTCACTGCGTCAATGTTCCTGTTCTTGTGCCAATAAAAAGCTGTTTTAATGACATAGCCTTGTAGTATTAGGTTTGAAGTCGGGTAAATTGATACCTCCTATTTTGTTTTTTATTGCCTAGGATTGATTTGTTGCTATACGGCGGTCTTCTTTGGTTCCATACGAAGCATAAAATTATGTTTTCTATTCATATCTGTGAAAAATGATGATGGTATTTGATAGGGATTGCATTGACTCTGTAGGTCACTTTGGGTAGTATAGACATTTTAACAATGTTGATTCTGCCTACGATGGCGATGCTATATTCTTCCACCTGTTTACATCCTCTGCTATTTCCTTCTTCAGTGTTTCATAGTTCTCTCTGTAGAGATCTTTTACCTCCTTAAATATATTCCTATGTACTTTATTTTCTTTGTTGCTATTTTGAAGAGATTTGAGTCTTTGATTTGGTTCTCACTTTTATTGTTGTTGGCGCATATGAATGCCTGTGATCTCTGTGTATTGATTTTGTATCTTGAGACTTTACCAAATTCATTTATGAATTCAAAGAGTCTCTTGGTTGAATCCTCAGAGTTTTCTAGGTATAATATCTATGTCATCAGCAAAGAGTGAGAGTTTGATCTCTTCTCGTCCATTTGGCATGCCCTTAATCCACTCTCTTGTCTGATTGCCTGTAGCGAGGACTTCTAGCACTATGTTGAACAGAAGTGGGATAGTGGGCAACCTTGTCTTGTCCAGTTCTAAGGGGGAATGCTTTCAGTTTTCCCATTCAGTATGATATTGGCGTTGGGTTTGTCATATATGGCTTATATCATTTTTAGGCAAGCCCCATCTATGCCTATATTGTTGAGCATTCTTATCATAAAAGGGTGTTGAATTTTGTCAAATGCTTTTTCTGCATCTATTGAGAGGATCATTGTGGTCTTTGTTTTGCTTCTGTGTTATATGGTGAATTACATTTATAGATTTGCATATGTTGAACCATCCCTGCATCGCTGGATGAAACCCACTTGGTTGTGAGTGGATTTTTCTTGACAAGCACTGGATTCGATTGGCTAGGATTTTGTTGAGAATTTTTGCATCATATTTCATATGGGATATTGGTCTGTAGCTTTTTGTTGTTCGTTTGTTTGATCCTTTCCTGGTTTTGGTATCAGGGTTATAGGGAAGATTAATAAAACAAAAAGTTGGTTCTTTGAAAAAATAACCAAAATTGACACATCATTGGCTAGACTAATGAAAAGCAGACCAAAAAAATCTCTAATAAGCTCCATCAGGAACAATAAAGGAGAAATTACAACTGATGCCCTGGAGATACAAGATATAATTTATGAATACTACAAAAACCTCTATGCAAACAAACTGGAAAATGTGGAGGGAATGGACAATTTCTTAGAAACACACAGCCTCCCTAGGCTCAACAAGGAAGAAATAGAATTCCTGAACAGACCAATATCAAGTACTGAAATTGAAACAGCAATAAAAAACCTTCCTAAAAAGAAAAGTCCTGGAACAGATGGTTTCACACCCAAATTTTACCACACCTACAAAGAAGAATTAGTGCCTATCCTGCAAAAATTATTACACAACATTGAGAAGGATGGAATCCTCCCCAACACATTTTATGAAGCGAACATAGGGCTATGGTATTTTTGTTAACAAAAGCTCAGCACTTGTCCTCAAGGCCACATCAGAAAATGAGAACAAGTGATTTGTGAAGAAAGAAAGAGAAGTTTATTATTTTGCTGGCAAAGGAGGAGGATGGAGACTCCTGTTTGAAATGCCATCACCCTAATACTAAGCAGAAATAAATAGCTTTTAAAGGGTGAGTAGTTCTCAGCTTCAGGCAATTGCTGTTGTACTACAGGTGAGGATTATGATCACTCCCTTTCTGCTGAAGACAATCGTGTGACCTCCACCCAGGGCCTCCCTCTGCCAAGTCGGGGCTGAGCCATCTCCTGTAGCACAAAAAACAAAAGAGGTTACCCTCTCCCTCCCTACCACTGGTCTGAAGCAGGGGTACAAGTTTTACTTCTCAAAAAGGAATGGAGGATGTTTTAAAGAAACACAGAATATTTTTGCCCATCTTTTGAGGCCATTCCCTTTGTTACATATTCCCCACTGTCAATATTTCCCTTCCATATCTATGGGACTAGGTGTGGCTATTCTGTTACATTCTTCCTAAAAATCAGTAAGTCCAGTCTAATTATAAGAAAACATCAAATAAACTGAAATAGAGGGACATTCTATAAAATAAGGGAATAGTACTTCTTATGAGTGTCAAGGTCATGAAAGACAAGGAAAGACTGAGAAGCTGTGACAGATTAGAGGGTAAGACTAAGAAGTATCAGATAAGGGAGTATTTAGCACATGATGATTAAATATAGTATGGTATCCTGGATTGGAATCTGGAATGGGAAAGGACATGCATTTAAAAAGTGAAATTGGCTGGGCGTGGTGGCTCACGCCTGTAATCCTAGCAGCTTGGGAGGGGCCTAGGCAGGGTGATTCACTAAGGTCAGGAGTTCGGAAACCGAGCCTGAGCAGTGAGTGAGAGCGCTCTCTAGAGAAAAAAGAGAATAGAATTAAGTTGCCAATAAACACTTATAGAAAATATTAGCCAAGACACACTGGCGAGCCTGTGAGTCCAGTCTACTCGGGAACTGAGGCAGAAGGAATCGTTGAGCCAGAGTGAGGGTTAGCTGTAGCTAGGTCTGATTGCACGGCAGCCGTAGCCAGGCGAACAGAGGTTTGAGACTCTGTCTCAAAAAAAAAAAAAAAAAACAAGTATAAAATCAAATAAAGGTGGTTGATTTAATTAATATTTATTGTGGCAGTACATTTTTTGTTAAATGAATGTACTGTGAGTGAGGGTGAAGATTAACATCTTACATTTAAAATGTGATCATCAAGATCTGGAAAAAGGCTATGCATGAACTCTTCTCATACTCTTGCCTGTCTTGTGTAAATATTAAAAATTATTCAAAGAAAATTTTAAAAGTGGGAGTCCAAAGGGATATAGGGCAAACGAAGAAAAAAAAAGGAGAAGAAGGGAAGAGGGAAGAGGAGAATACTCAGGAATGGCAATGTTAAAATCAGATTAATTATATGGCTAAATACTCCAAAGAGAAAAAGGAAGTTATCTAAGGTAGAACACAGATAATATTTGGGGATGAATGAAAATGTAATTTACAACTGCTCTGTGCGTACAACTGGTATGCATACAGATCATCATAGAAAATAAAAATTGAAATAAATATAAGTTTTAAGAAGAGAGGGTGCATACAAATGCAGTCGAATTGACAGGTTACTACCTGTTGGTCACTCAGTGGTATGAGAATTTATTTTCAAGAAATAGATGAGATGAAGAAAGAAAATCGAGAAGTTCGATAGATGGTTTTTCCTCGAGGCATTCACGGATGTGATTATTTTCTAGTGGCCTTTGTGCGAGGTTCTCTGAAGAACACCGTGCCTTTGGTCTGGGAGGCACGGTATGTATTGGAGTGGTGAGTCTGAGGGCCGGAGGAAGCAGAGGGTTTTGGGGGTCTGCTGAGCCTTGTCTCCCAGTCTGTGCGAGATAGTCTGTCGCGAGGTAGCCAATTAGTCTTCCTCAATCTTGCCCTGCTTGAAATAGCTGACACGTTTTATTTTCTGGACTGAAGTTCCTGGATACAGAGATCTTCATAAATATAAAACCGCACTGGTAGATTTTAAAAGAAACATCTCTTTCAGAATTGTCATATCTAACCAAAAACAAAAAGAAAGAAAGAAAGAAGGAAACATAGATAAATAATAAAGTTCCAACAAATTTCGATTAATAGGTCCGTAGAGAAGGTTTAGTGCATCTTGACAAATGGTTATTCGAAAACACATAAAACAAGCTATAAATCGTACATTGAGCAAAAGTATACTCAACAAATATTTTAAAGTAGAGATTTTATAAACTATGTTATTTGATCATAATATAATCATGTGAAAAATAAATTAATGATAAAAAGATATCCCTCCAAAATATTAACTAGCAAGAAAATAAGGCACTTTCATTATAATAACTCTTGGCTGAAAGTATAAACTAGATATTTAATTATAAAATATCTAAAAAAGAAGAATTTAAAAGATAAATTTATATCAAATCCAAAGGACCTAGAACAACTTAACTCATAAAATAAACATATAAACACCTCCAGAAGGAAGATCAATACTCAACTTAGGAAAAACGAGAAATAAGCAACACAAATCAGTAAAAAAATTAATAACAACAGTAATGGTACATAATAAGCATAAAACCTAAAGCTGATGAAAGAGAAACAAAAGAAAAAATTTTAGGAATGATGAATAAATCCAAAAGCTTATCTTTAAAAAAATAAGTTTAAACAAAATAGATAAAGCTTTTGTGAGACTGAGATAAAGAGAGAAAAGAATTATGAGTTTAAGAACAAGAACAGAGGATAGCCAGGCATATATAAGAGCATTAAAGATTGTTTTTAATTCTTTTATCCAGCAATAAATTGTATTGCTTTTATGCTGAATGGATTTTTTTTCTCCCCATTTAAAGATAAGATTGGTCCACCATTTATTTCTTTTAGATTTTAAAAATTGTGTATATATGCGTGTGTGTGTGTGTGTGTTTCTAAGTCTTGGGATGCTTAAAACACATTGTGATATGTGTGTGGTGGGAAGAATGTTATTTGTGTGCCCAAATCCATTCTCTCACTGTGTCGTAATGGAGTTGTAGCTGTCACATAGCCGTTCAGCTGTAGAACCCATTTCCAAGCCTGCATCAAGGTTTTTCCACATGACAAAGTCATCACCAACAGACAGTGAGTGGAAGTGGTGTGTATCATATTCAAATTCCCTATAGCTATGGGCGTGCACCCTCCCCTCATGCACGCTAGCCTCCCTTTCCGTGAGCCGGCACATGGATGTATAGCGTTTGCAATCCAAGCTTCAACCCATCAAGTGAAAGCAAACTCCCAGGGAATGAACAATGGAAAATTAGGCCCCTGCCTGATTCTTTAACCACAGATTTTTGTCACTATTTGTTACAGTAATTTATTCTTTACTCTAATTACTATGTCATAGAAAAGTTAACCGACTTTTTTTCCGAAAGCGCTCAACTGTATAAACTGAATTTCCTTCTTTTGACTTCCCAGCTTTGATATATAAAAATCTTGTATAGTCTAATGTCTTTTTCTGAATCATCTATGCAACTCTGCTCTGTCCCATTTACTTTTGTTTGCTTAAGCACAAGAAAAATATGTGATCAAAGAGTCAGAAAATCTTAGAGCTAAGGGGCCATTTGGTCCATTGTTTCCCAGCTGTTTTTTAAAAAAAATAATGTTCTGTAAGATGCGAATAGATTTTTCTAAAAATGAGGAGTAAATCAAAGAGTTTCCATGGTTAATTAAGTTTGGGAGATCCTGTATACTTTTCTCTCATGAAGATTTTTAGAATGCATCAGGATAGCAAAGGCTTTGTGAAATCCTGCAGTAACTAAGACTTTCTCAAGTGTATATAATCATTATAGTCATTTTAAATGGGACACCTTTCAATGACTTGACAAGGTCTCGTGTTCCACCAAACACTAGGAAACATACACGGGATTTATGTACCACCCCATATGGTATCTTTTGTATCACATCTAGCTCCAACTCACAGATGCCTATTAACAAGGCACTCCGTGGGGTTTTGTTTTCCATTACTAGATTGTCCTAACTGGGCTATAAAATATAAGAAATGCAAGTTCGATGGTGTTGGCAAATTTTATAATTTCTCGCGGAAGCATACTCTCTCTTAGATGGTCAATGGGAAACACGCTCATTGTTTTTGATGGCAGAGAGTAGGTGCCAGAAGGGAGAATAAGTTGTCAAAAAAAACTCCTCAGAATAGGTGGTTTGAGATGCTCAGTCCCATGTAGACCAGAAAATGTATGGTTCCTGCAAATGTTCCCACATGACACCCTGGCAGTGACAATCACAGCCCTCATTTGCTTGGAGGCTGAGACACATCTGGGTGCTTATTCTCTCTGCCGGCTTTGTCCCCTCCTCCCAATCCCAGGGGTCTCTCCTTTGCATCTAATTTTATAATTCATTGTTTCTCCAATCCTCAAAATTATTTGTACTTTTAGAAGTGATGCATTTTGTTTTCACAGGGTAGGGAACATGTGGCCACATGTGGTCATCTGGAGTGTGGCCTTTTGACTGAACCCAAATTTCACAGAACAAATCCTCTTAATAAAAGATTACTCCATCCCTCCCATTGTCACTCCTTTTCATAACTGAAGCAGCTCGCCCATCACACCAAGATATTTTTCCTCCAGACCAGACATTCTTTCAATTATTCTTGATGGGTGATCATTTCCACATTCTCTATTACTTTCCTGATGTCTTCCTTCTGGTCCTAATCCAGGTGTGTTCTTAGAACTTATGGTTCCATAGATCCTATGCTCAGCAAAAATACAGCCTTTCCTGTAGAAATACCACTGGAAAGTTCCTTCACCCTACCTGTCTTTTCAAAAAAAAATTTTTTACTATTAAACTAGGCTTGACCATACGTAACATTTTTCTTTGGATGTGCCTCATTATTTCTGCATAATTTTATTTGAAATGCACATACTGCCATGGCACACATGACATAAAGATTTTTAATAGTTTACTGTGGAAAAGATTTCTCAGAAGTTTTTTTTTTTCCTAGACCCATGGGAACCTTAGCACTGTTGGTTGGCAAAAAGGGAAAGAACAAGTATGCCAATAAGAGAATGCATTGGTTTTCTATTACAGCCATAACAAATCACCATAAACTTAGGCAGCTTAAAACAATGCCTATATAATATTTTACAGTTCTGTAGGTCAGAAGTTTGACATGGGTCTTACTAGATGAAAATCAAGGCACCAGCAGGGCTGTGTTGCTTCCTGGAGGCTCTTAGGGATAACTAAGTTCCTCGCTCATGCAGGTTATTGGCAGAATTTAGTTTCCTGCAGTTGTAGAACTGAGGTTTCCTCTTTCTTGCTAGCTGAGATCCATTGGCCATCGTCTGGAGGCTGCCTGCACACCTTGGTTCAGGGACCTCTTCCTTCATGCTCAAAGTCAATGATGGTGTGTTGAGTTCCTCATGCCCTTGAAACCTCTCCTGCCCCTTCTTCAATCATCGCATTGCTCACACCAACTCTTTCGCCTTCCTCTTCCACTGTTAAGGGTCTATGTGATTGCACTGGGCCTACCCAGCTAATCCAGGACAACTCTGGGCTCTATTTCCTGGGAGCAATATCTACCACAAATCAATGTGTGTTAACTCTGAATCTAACATGCCACCTAAAGAAGTTATTCACGTAAGTTCAAAAATGCAATCTCAACATCTGTATTTGAAAAGAAAAAAAAAAAGTCTGTATTTGTATTTGTTTTATTCAGAACAAGGGTGAATAAGGCATAACATATGCTTTATTTGTTCATCCCCAAGGCAGAAAAAGTGCTATATAGTCACCAAATAATTTCATTTCTTTCTGGATAGGCAGAAAAACCACACAGTTACACAGTTATCCTCGGTGTGTTTAAGTTGGTCCATATGACTATTGTTACCCGATAGTATGTTGGTAAATATAATGTGTGCCCCTTCCAGACTTGGCCAGTTGAAAATTTAAACCTTCGATGAGTGATTTTTCTCTTTTTCTCCCTTTTGTTCTGTCCAGGGAGGAAATGTATTGAGGATAGTGGCATCATGATATGAAAGAGCTTGGGTCCCTGAATAACTAAATAAACCACATCATCCTACCAAGCCCACCCATGTAAAGGATGTTATGTGAAGAAGGAACACACTTTATGTTAAACCTTGAGGTTTGGGAATACTTTGGTATAGGTTCTAGCCCACTCTGACAAACGTCACCTATCAAATGCTTGCTGAGTCCTTACTTTCCCAAAAATTTTTAATTACAAATTATCAAATAAAAGAAATGGGAAAATTTTACACCAGTGGTCCCACTGTGACTTGGCTGCATCTGAAACACTTGGGAAAATGTTTCAAAAAATATATATTGCTGGTCCTAGTCCAGCAATAGGGAATGAGTGATTCCAATCATCAATGACTTTAGAGGATACTAGGTCTAACTTTCGTTTTGTCCAGATGAGAAATGTAAAAATCGAAGCTTCTTCAGTGATTGTTCTACAGAATGTTGGTAGCACAGTCAGCACCAGAATCCACATTTCTTGATTCTTAGCCTAGTAATGTTTTATTTCTTCCATATCGTCGCTCTTAGGATAACTCATGCGAATTGATGGAATGAGAATTGATAGGATATGTAAATTAAGCAATTAGAAGCCAAAATATTAAAACCATGTTTCTAAAATTAACCGTCAATTAGATTATAACTCCCCAATGTTACAGCAACTTTGCCTTAACCCAATTATGTCAACACGAATGTCAACAATTAGACAACTTCATGTCATAAAAGGTATTGTGTGGGATATAAAAGCTATGTCAACTATCATGAGCACGGTTTGTTGAGTCCCAATTTCAACTCAGGACATTTTGTGACTAATTCTTTTTCTTAGACACTCTTCACTCTACACCCACTCCATTTAAATTTTGCTTAACCACAGGAATTTTGTCAAATATTTGAAAAGCAGTGATTGGAGAGAAATATTTTTGCTTTTAAAAAAGACACATTTGAATTAATTGGAAACTGAAAAAATGTCGACAGTTGTAGACTTGCTGTCGAGTAAGTGAGAAGACTATGTTGATGGCAACCGAGAAAAGAGTCAGCAAAAGCATCCAAGATAACCCACCTGCTCTCACCAGGCATGTTTTTAATGATTGTTTTGTCAAATATAAGACTTCTTGACAGTGATCCCAAGTAAAATATATTTTTTTTCCCAATAACAGGAGTTGCTTATGAAAAAAAGAATTCCCACTCCTTACCAACTACACTTAACTCATCAACTAGAAGTAAATTAAGAGCCTGTTTGAAGTAACTCAAATTTATAAAGTTTACACATAACACACACACATGCACACATGTAAAGCAATTCATTTAAATCTTGACGGCAATACTCCCCTTTTATTTTCTGTTAATACAAAGATGTGAAAGCTACTTAAATAATTAGCCAGATTAAAATTTTGCTTCCCCTTTTTACCTATGTTTATCAAATTAGGTGGGTGAATGGAGTTCAAGAAATTGCATTATACCCAATAGAAGAAAATGAGAAGGGGTGTGAAATGGGGGTGGGGATGGTAGAAAAAGATTATATAAAATTATAGTTCTTCTGTGTTTCTGACTGCTGGTCACAGCCAGAATGTGTCTAGAGAGAGGTCTCACTTGTGAAACTAGTCATGTGGAAAATGACTAGTTTTATTAAAAATAGCAGTAATGAAAAACATGTACCTACTATCAAATATATAATAATACAGCTCTAAACTGTGAGCATGCGTCTGGTGCTCCAGCCATCGACAGGCTAGGAATTGTGTCATGTTTTGTTCAAACTGACTTAGAGTTTAACCAAAGCAGTCACATGGTACTAAGTTTATATAAAAAAGTAGTCGCTGATTTTTATTAATTTATTATATTTTAATTTCAGAATATTATGGGGGTACAAAAGTTTTGGTTACATGAATTGCTTTTGTACCATCTGAGTGGAAGTTATAAGTATGCCCATCACCCAAATAGTGCGAATTGTAACCATTAGATGTAATTTACCCATCCCCTTTTCCTCCCTCCCACCTGCTTGATTTCCAATGAATGTTATTTTGATATGTGCACATAAGTGTTCATCAATTAGTTCCAACTTAATGGAAAGTACATGTGGCATCTATTTTTCCATTCTTGTGATACTTCACTTACAAGAATAGTCTCCAGTTCAATTCAGATTAATACAAGAGGTATTAGTTCACCATTTTTTATGGCTGAGTAGTACTCCATAGTATACAGCACATTTTATTAACCACTCATTTATTGACAGGCACTTGAGTTGTTTCCACATCCTTGTAATTATGAATTGTGCTGCTATAAACATTTGAGTACGGGTATCTTTTTATAAAGTCTTTTTTTCCTTTGGATAAATACCAGTAGTGGGATTGCTGGATCAAATGGTAGGTCTACATTTAGTTCTTTGAGGTATCTCCATACTACTTTCCATAATGGCTGCACTAGTTTGCAGTAACATCAACAGTATATGAGAGTTTCTATCTCTCTGCATCCACAACAGCATTTGTTGTTTTGGAACTTTTTGATAAAACCTAAAGCATAAAACTAACTATAAGAATTCTAGAACAAAATGTTGGAAAAACTCTATATACTTTGACCTAGGCAAATAATTTATAAAGAAGGCCCCCAAAACAATCACAGCAACTATAAAAATAACTAAATGATGCCTGATTAAATTGAAAAGCTTCTGCACAGCCAAGGAAACAATCATTACAGCAAATAGACAACTTACAGAATGGGATAAAGTATTCATATGGTATACATCTGATAAAGGGCTAATAACCAGAATCTACAAAGAACTCAAGCAAATCAGGAAGAAAATAAAAATCCAACAACCCCATTAAAAATTAGGCAAAAGACATGAACATAAACTTTACAGAAGATCATAGACTAATGGCCAGCGAACATGAAAAAATGCTCAACATCTCTAACCATCAGGGAAATACAAATCAAAACCATAGTGAGATAGTGCTTAACTTCAGTGAGAACATGTAACCTTTTAATCATGTATATTAATAGACAATTGTTGATTAATTTACTAAAATTTAAAATCTTTCTTATGTTTTTAGATTAAGGAAAAAGGCATAGAATTTCTAGTATTTTTGTCTTCAACATTCTGCTTGGAAGACCTCTACTTTAGTATAACTATCTATCAATTATCGAACATGTTTATTTTTAGAAAATAACATTGGTAATGAAAAAATACACTAGACGATTCCTGTCGGATAATGACAGCTGTCTAAACACAAGTTTCTTCAGCTGTTCTCCACAAACTACAGATCGAAAAGGTGAACAAATAAAATCACACAGGCTTACACATAAACAGTATAATAATGAGAGAGAGTGTAGCATAAACTTCAATTTACGGATGAGTTGGGAAAAACTGCCTGAAGCCATTACAGATACTCTCAACCCTTTGCTAGAATAGATTAGCAGGAAACAACAGTATGAAAAGAAGGGTCCTAGCATTGTTTGAATCCAAGTAAAATTACTCTCATAAGAAGTAATATCATGGTTTGGAAATATTGAGAATAGTTTCCTGACAGTTCTAGAATGGGCACAACTAATCCCTGGTGGAAAAAAAATCAATCAGTCTGGATGGAGGTAGGGATTGCCTAAGAAAGTTCATGAATGAGATTTCTGGGGTCGTGATAATGTGCTTTATTTTGAATAACTGGCTAGGTTACATTTTTATTCAACAATGTACTAATATCCAGAATATACAAGGAACTCAAACAACTCAACACCAAAAAAAAAAAAAAGAAACAATTTCATTAAAAAGTGGAAATTGAGTAGTCATTTCTCAAAATAAGACGTACAAATGGATAACTTGTATATGGAAAATGTGCTCTATATCACTAATCAAAAAGGAAATGCAAATCGAAACCACTTTGAGCTTTCATTTTACCCAGTTAGAATGTCTACTACCAAAAAGATAAAACAATAACAAATGCTGGCAAGAATGCAGAGCAAAGGGAACCGTCGTCCACTATTAGTGGGAATGGAAATTTGTATAGCCATTATGTAAAACAGTGTGGAAGTTTTTCAAAACACTAAAAGTAGAACTACCATATGATCCATTAATCCCACTACTGGGTATTTATTCAAAGGAAAGGAAATAAGTATATCACAGGGATACCTGTACCCCATGTTTATTGAAGCACTACTCACAATGGCAAAGATATGTTATTAACCTAAGTATCTATCAACAGATGAATGGATAAAGAAAATGTGGCATATATAAACAATGGAATGCTATTTGGCCACAAAAAAGAATGAAATCCTATCATTTGCAGCAACAGGGATGGAATTGGAGGTCATTGTGTTAAGTAAAATAAACCAAGCACAGTAAGACAAATATCTCATGTTCTCACTCATATGTGAGATCTAAGAAATTTATTCTCATGGAGGTAGAGTAGAATGATAGTTACCAAAGCCCAGGAAATGTGTAGGGGTGGATGGCTGAGAATGAAGCAAGGTTGGTTAATGGGTACAAACACACAGTTAGATAATAGGCATAAGTTTTAATGTTTGATAGCAGAGTAAGGTGACTACAGTTAACAAAAATGTATTGCATATTTCAAAAGAGAAGAAAGGACTTGAGATGTTCTCAACACATAAAAATGATAAATACTTGGTGATGGAGAATCTACATATCCTAACTTAATCATTCCACAATCTATGTATGTAACAAAATATCACATGTACACAATAAATATGTACAAATATTATGTTTTAAAAATATTTTAAAATAATAGATATGAGTTTTCTATAGCTTGTCATCATCAAATTTTCTCCATTTATTCAAGCTTTACCTCCTAAAACAAACCTGAAAGATCTTGAAGGAATTTCAAACATGTTTTCATTTGCTTATTTGATTTCACTTTTTATTATTAATATGTTGTACCTAAATAATACTTTTAATTTTTATTTGCAAAAAGCTAGTAATTTTCTTCCATCACTTCCATTTTGTATTTTAAATGTCTCTGCAAATATCATGGTCTCACTGAGTTATTAGAGTTTATTGACAAAAGAGACCTAGGTTCATTTCCATATTAATATCAAAAAATACTTTTTAATATTAGTATTATAAGTATAACATGCAATTAGTAAGTTAACTGCAGCTATTGCAAATAGCTATGAATAGAGTCATACCACTTTCTCCACTGGAAGATTTATTGCCTTCATTCTTCGGGGAAAACCTCTTCTGTTCCACTACTTGATTTTATATTGTTCTAAATTTTTTAATTATTATTTTACTGGCTTAAAATTTTGCATTTCAAGTTTTACAGTTATGTCAGAAATATGTTTATTGTGGAAAATATAGTTTGAATTTGATACATTTGAAAAAAGGTAAATGAAGAAAAACACTAAAGCCATGCTTACACACACACAGAGATTTCACCAAACGTTTCAGTCCTTTTGTATTTTAAAAAGCCACATTTTCACTATAAATTTTCACTACTTACATCCCAATTTATATCTCTGTTTGTTTGTCTTTCCTTCCGGAGTGCAGGCCTTATAAGCACAGTATCATATGATTCTTGGTTACTACTCTGACCCCACTGAGTAGAATTTTACTGAAAAAAAAAAAAAAGGACTAAATAAATATTTTTGAAGAACTAAGTGCATAATTGAACAAGTGAAAATAGGTGTCTGGATGCCCAATTTTTATTTTTCTGTGGGCTTTTGATACTCAAGGAGATAATTCTTTGTCCTAATATTATATATAAAAAGCTATCCCTAACTAATATCTAAGTAAATAAATGCCAAACATGAATAGAATTCCTAAAATGTCCAAACATTACAACAATGTTCACCCAGATTATATCCTAAGGAAAATTTTAAAGAAAGCTAATTTAATGAATTAATTAGAATGATTTTTTAAAAAATGGTCCATCAATTTTGCTACATCCAATGAATGTTTTCAAGTATTTTAAAACACTTGAAAAATCATGTTCTTTTAGGGAATTTAAGCATTCCACTAGCTGTCCCATTTATACAATTAATTTCCTTAGGAAGGAAAATAATTCATAAAAAAGAGAAAACTTAACTTTAAGCAAAGTGGTTCAAATTGGAACATATTCTGACTTACATAAGAAATTATTACAGAATTTTATATAAAGAAGTCAACTAAAGCATGAAAAGGTCTCCTAATCCCTTTATTTGAAACAAAAACAAAGTTATAGTTATACCTGACTTCCAGAGTTACAAAGAAGATCAAATGAGATGATATAATTGAATAAGCTTTAGATAAAAAAAAGAAAAAAAACTATATGTATGAGGTAGCTGTTGCAATTGATAACAGTTTTTCACAAAAGTGGTTTGTATTTTGAACACCAACCTCTCTAAAATTCACTATATACCATTCCAAATTTAATCCAACCACTCTGTAGCTTCATAATTCATAAAACAAGCCAGATTTCTCACTCTTTGGTCTACTTGGCGACATAAGAAGCAGCTATAATTTTAAACCAATCCTTTAAAAAGTGGGAACAATATCTCTGTAAATTCTTAGTTCATTTCAAGTCATGGTAAAAGATTAAAAAACTGTCATCACATTTTGCTGAAGCAATGGCTCAATGCACTTTAAAGCGCTCATTTCCTTACCTTGATTTGGCACATTCAATTTAATCTCCTCGGTCATAAGTAACAAATGATAATTAAAGGAGGGGTGGAAGGGGTTCTTTTAGAAGACTGTTTCTTGCATGCCGATAAGTAATTAGAGTGACCTCAATATGGTGGCTTTCCTTTGTTGCTGAGAGACAAATACCTTTGTGCAACAGATAAACAAGCTCAGCTCTGCAAACCCTCAATGTGAACTGTCTCCCTGGAAGCCAGGAGCCTTCTTTGGTGTCTTTGCAGTTAGATGAAAGGGAGTAGATCCTGCAGTGAAAGCAAGAGTGGGGAAGTTGAAAGTTTGACTTTGTTGTTACCTTACCATGCAAAGTTAGCTCATTAAGAGTTTTCTCTTGCCAGAAATCAGCAGTCAAGACTCCACCATACTTCCTTTAAACACACACACACACACACACACACACACACACACACGCACGCATGCACACAGGAAAAACAGAATACTTGGAAGAGTTTAGGAGAGAACAAAGTATGGTTGGTTTGAATTTAGAATGTTTCAATTTAGTAACAAAGTTTTCTCATGGTGAGAGTTAAGAGCAATTAGAATTTGGGCTCCTCTAACATCAGCAGTGAATGGACAAAGGATAAGGACAATTTCCACCAGAATAAAGCCCAATCCTAGAGAACTTTTTGGTCTAAAAAGCAAACAGAACAGTTCTGGTTTTTTGCCTTTTGTGAGGGTCCAAGATGTGATTATTAAAGTAATGCATTTATTTAAAAAAATAATGGCAACTTATTTGACACATTAGTAGAATTAATAGGAAATCTGGACATGTCCCAGGAGGGATATTGTTTATTTAAAATCTCCTTTTAAAAAATAAAGGAAAACGATGCCCATAGTATAGTCATGGCATGGTGGTCCTATCACCCTGTTTTCAGTTAGATTTCACAAAACAGAAACTAATCTGTTTATTATTCCTATACTTGATGATTCTCCAAGAAGAGAAGTTTCGAAAACTCCCCCCAAAAATCTATTCCTTGATATTACAAAATAGTTTTCCCCAGCTATCCATTACCTCCAGTAGCTTTCTTTATTCACAGTTTTTAACATGAGACGTTGCCATGCCTTCCAACAGATATTGTATACACCTAGGGGCCATTGACTTTGGGCTTGCCCACGTGACTTACTTTGGCCAATAACATGTGGTTAGAAGTGACAGTGTAGACTTGGAGTACAAGAGGTATGATGTGCTTCTGATACAGTTTCTGCTCTCCAAGAGAGAAAGGGGCATGCCCTACATCGGACTTAGCTCTTCATTCTGTGTGCTCCAAGACCTGTAGAGCAACCCTCAACCCAGAACTGAGCCCAGCTAGACCCCACAGATCCCACGAGCAATCTCATGACCTAGTGGCCGCCAGTGGTGGAGCGTAAGTTTGGGGATCAAGCAGCCCTGTTTCAAATCTCAGCTGTACTACTCAGTTACAACCTTGAATGAGTTGCTGAATTCTGACTTTCCGTTTTTTTGTCGTGGATGCATTAGATCTGATAATGCCAACCACCCGCAAGTCGTTGTGAGACACGTGCATGTCCATTTTGCCAGAGTGAGGCTCAGAAGAAATACTCAGAAATTCTTTCATTCCTTCTTTGATAAGGAAAACACTTCCTCATACTTCTAAATCCAGACCAAAAATATGGCCCAAGATAAGATGGAAGAGAACTGAGTTAAAAACCATCGTTAACAATGATGCTGATGAACACTAAAAATATTGATGATGAGGATTCGATTAGTCAAAGTCTATGCCACCTATTGCCTTAGGAGAGCTGTGAAGTTAAACCATCTCTGGGGGTACACACACCAGTTTGCCCTTAGAGTCAGAACGTGAGAGCTGGAAGGAATTTAAATGATGACTGAGTCTGATGACTGCCTTTCATGGATGAGAGAATTGAGGCTCAGAGAGATGAATTGTCTTTCCCCAAACTAGTTAATGGCAAATCTGTCACTTAAACCAACAAAATGGTTTTATAAATGGCAGTTAGATGTACTGTCTGACATATAAAGAATATACTTCTTCCCACTGTTCCCTTCTCAGAATAGTGAAATGTCTGTGTCCCAGAGCATGTCTCCTTTCTTTTCACAGACTAGGCAACAATATCGGTTTCATGAGAAGGAACTGAAACTCATAAAAGGGCATAAGTTGTCAGTAGGGTATCTATCACACGTGGAGTACTGTTTGCGTGTGAAATCTAACTGCCCTCTTACTAAAGAGGCTCAATGAAGGGTCAGAGCATCTTTGCAGCTAATATGATATTTACACGCTGTCATCCACACTTCTGTTTCTATGGATGTTATTTAAAGTGACAGATTCATAATTTAAACACTGGAACTCATTTACCCAGTTTTCAAAGTTTTAAGCTTTTAGGATCACATTTAAAGAGAGAGTTGCAAATATAAACACAAGAGCAGCAGTTTTCAAATTTGTTTCTTCTTAACATTTTTTTTTTCTTTTAGTTTCTGGCCATGTGATCTCCAGTGAGATGAAGGCTTTTTGGACCACCTGCTCTCTTTGCTACCATGAAAAGAAACAAAAATATATCAGTTGCATTATAATGCAAACCAGCTTTTAATAACACTCCCATGTGGTGGCTAAAAAGGATAGAGAAAATAAAAGTAAAAGGGAAACTAAATTGAGTATTAGGCAAACAGGAAAAAGAAAAAGAAAAAGAAAGATGCAAGGAGAGAAAAGGAAATAAACAACAAAAAAGGAGATGAACAAGAGACAACAAAAGAGTGATATCAGCCGGGCCGGCACAGTGGCTCACACCTGTAATCCTAGCCCTCTGGGAGGCTGATGCGGGAGGATTTTGAGGTCGAGAGTTTGAGACCAACCTGAGCAAGAGCAAGACTCTCTGTCTGCTAAGAATAGAAAAAATTAGTTGGGTGTGGCAGTGAGCACCTGTAGCTCCAGCTACTCAGGAGGCAGGAGGATCCTTTGAGCCTAGGATTTTGAGGCTGCTGTGAGCTAGCCTGACACCAGGGCACTCTAGCACAGGTGACAGAGGGAGACTATCTAAAAAATAAACAAAATATATATATATATATATATATATATATATATATATATATATCCCATGGACTCACCATACTTCCAGGCCATAGACTAAGGCCTGGAACCATTCTCAGCTTTAGCGCCCCCTAAAGTCCCAAATATGCCTATACCTGAACTTAGTCCCACTGATTCCCAAGAGGCAACTGTTTGACAACTTGCTTTGCTGCTGAAACTGTTGGGACCACAAGAGATTGCTAACGAGGACTCGATGGGGTGATCCTCTCCCCACTCCATGCAGACCTGACAATTAGAAGCAGTAGACAGAGAAAGAAGCGTGGTTCCACCAAAGGAAGCAACCCCCATCCCTCTCGGGCTGCTCTTCTCTGAAGTCACGTTTGGCACGGAGTGGTCCCAGAAATTTAGGATACAGGACCATCCCTGTTGCTCTGAGGGTTTGATTTCAGAAAAGCAAGCAGCCTCAGCATACTGGTGCTCTCATTATCATGCCTTAAGCTAAGAATTCTACAAGTAAATGCATCTTGAACTATTAAATAAAACATTGTTCCTCTTCAAACTGGGTAAAGTTGTACATCACTAAATTATCTAATGTGGTAATTTTTTTTCTTTTTCTTCTACTTCTAGGAGAATGATATGATGAATTCATAGGAAACCTCTATCTGGCCATGCTGCCACGAAGGAAGGGAGCCGTGTTGGAATTGCGCTAAAGCATTCCAGGTCTGTCCGCATGGCTTGTAAGCAGCAATTTCCCCCAGCCCCATGAATCCCAACAATCCATCAAGGAGAATTACTGGTGAAAATGACAGAAAAATGTCATAAACCTCGCTTTCATTTTATTCCAATGGATGTGAGGATTCATGCAGTTTAAGCAGATTATGCTACTGAACTGGAGCTTGGTTGAATGATTAAAAGATAAAACCATTCCATTTAAATCTTTACCTGAATTTATCAGCTTGGGTTTTCTGAATTGCACTATGAAGTTTTGTCATAAAATGAAAATGTTTGATTCAAAGGTAATAAAAGCTATTGATCTATGGTGAAGAAGTGTTAATATACCAATTTTATAACATACCGATTTTATAATTAATTTGGTGTCACATAAAAGAAAAAATCAATATCTTCTAGTTTTGGTGATTAAAGGGAGATTGGACCTTTGAAAATGTATTTGCATGTATAGCAAGACGAACTCATTTTAGAGGTGGTACATAAAGGGTTACCTATTAGGTTTGCATATCAGATGTCCAGTTAGCAATTACATAGTTAAATGAGAAGGCAAAACATGTATGTACTCTTGGCAAACTTCCTCTTAACACATTAACTGTCATGTGAGTTGTATTTAATTCATGCTAGTTTTGAGCCTGGGGCCTCATGAAGCAAAGCCTGGGCAAAACCATGCAGTTGGTTCTTGAAAATCTTAATTGTTGAATATTCTTATTGTTACCATTAATATTGACAAATTAGTTCTAAAAATGTAGATTAAAGGAATAGAGAAGTCAATAAATTTCATTCTTTGTTAAATTAGAAAGGATCATTTTGTTTCCGAAGTTTTTATTTTATTTTTGTAATAAAACACTGTGGCCCCAAGGAAAAATATTTACTTTTTCTGA